CTCGGGTTTATTAAATTATTCGTTAAAAAGTCCTTTGCTAAATATGGTAGCAGTCGCATTTTACAAAAGCCTTATGACTACGATCACAATACATAATTTCGACATTCATTATTAAATGGCTCGAAAATATTATTATTTTTTAATTTTAATTCTTTAGTTTGATGTAATAGCAAATACCATAGTCATTCTAATTTAAAAAAAAAATTAAATAAATGCAAAATACAAAGCAACTTAATATCTACGTTTAACACTAACATTTGAAGTGTCGTGTGTTTGAATTGGCGAGCAATGAATCCAATTACAATTTCATAACACCTTAGTACTTATATATAAGTTAATTCATATTTTTACATTAATTTCAGAAGACAAATCGTTATGATGGCCAACAGTCAACAGGTGAGATATCAACAATACATACAAAGCAGTTTGGTCGAAAATTCATCGTGGGGAGAATGAGGTCGTCAGGAGTACACTTTTTCCACGAATCACCGTTATTGTTGTATTTATTACTCTTCTGTTTGGCGGGCACAACCAGTGACTGAAATCGCATTCATATAAAAAACAAAACGAGAGACAACGAATAAAAAAAAAACGTCCGAAGGTCGGCACATACACGAAAAACAAAATAAACAAGCAATGCACAAATATTAAGACGGACGAATAATATATTAATAGCTAACAACAAAATGAAACTGCAGTCTCTTCAATGGTAAACGTATAATACCTATGTACCAACATGACTACATATTTAATATGTATACGACATTATGTAATATTATAATGTATGTATAGGGTTCAGAGTTATATTATAATATTATTATTGTGTATCTAAATATGTTTCACCATAGAGTAAAACCATTTTTACGTGTAAAGTATACAGGTATGCCGAGAAGAAGAAAATCATTTTGTTTGCTAATGTTTTAATATTGGATAGTAAATATTTAATATTGAAGAGGATACGAAAAGACGTATTTGTGAGATACGGTTATGATAATAATGACACTGATGACTGCAGTTTACCCCGAGGGTATTCGTTTAATGAATGTGTTTAAACACGCATATTCTCGATGAAAACTTTTTAGAGGTATTTCAGATTCTGAGCCGAGCGATGGCCGATGAACGTATTGGCTATACAGTGTACTTTAAAAATAGTATTTAGGTCAAAAATAAAAATGCACAATAATATTAAATAGCTTCGGGAACAACGACAAAAAAAAAAAAATAATAATAAATACTTTGACTCTAAACCAGTTTTTGATAAAATCGATTTTGTTTTTTTGTTTCTGTACATGACGACTTTTCAAAATATTTTGATTCTTATTCAGCTGTATGTTTGTTATGAATTCAGTGTTGAGACGTCATATTATCCATACGAATATTATACTATCTGTCATTGCTTACCTAGATAAACGTTTTGCCAATTCCACAAAACCGATAGTCAAATGCTATTAAGTGTGTGGAGATTTCGTGGTGTTACCGATTTCATTAGTTCAGCTTTACATAATATTATCATTGAGTATAAATTGTCAAAACAAAAGTAAATATACGCTCAACGATAATTGTATAATATATCGAATATATTATGTACATACATAATATGACACTATGTGGGATATAAGGTAGTACGACAGTTCGTTGTCTGTAAAATAGCTCCACGTGCCTTTGAAAAAATGTTCAAGTTCGGTTTTTCTTTTTAATCACCGTAAATATAATGGGATGATTTTCAGTTTTCACTTACGCCGACACGCAATCGCCACCTGCAGTTTTTCATTTCACCGATATAATTTTGGACCACGGGCAGTTCGCATTTGCCGGCAGGCAGGCTCCGCACACGCAAAACACTGAAATCGATGGGACAAAGTGACGATAGTGATATGATTAAAACGACAATGATTACTGTCGGAATACGAAATGAATGGATGGCCTCGGGCAGTGTGCAGGGTCGTCCCGTTTTCGCACAAGTATAGGACCCATGTACTCGTATTGCATCATTGTAACTTCGGGAAGTGATTGTTCTATGACGATTAATATACTTACTCTGTTATTATAACATCGAATATTCGATAGGTTTTTGACCAAATACAAAGTGCTCGTCGAGAACACGATAAATAAATAATAATATAATACGTAGACACAAACTGCCGAGTCTCTTTTAAATGCAGGAGACGGCATATTTTGTTATATTTCTGGAATGCACTTTGTTAGAAATTTCGTCTTGTACTTATAGGTACAATAGTTCAAAAAGATTTACTGTACAGGTAATTGATCGATCATAGTGGTTTATCTGATAGTAGCCTGCAAGTTTATCCACATACCTTTCACACTTATGGTCCAAACACATGGTCTGATATCTAGCGATAGCAAACCATTGCCGGGTCAGCTAGTAATATAATATATATATATATTTGTATTATATTAATCATTATGTACTTATATTATTATAGCAATTATTATCTTACAAAAACTTATGTGTGTAATTTGTATTAATTATTTATTTTGTAAATTATTGTACACGACTCCACTCGTTCGTAAAGATAAATAAATAAAAACTCATAATACTTACATAATATTATCATAATATATTTTATTCGATTTTTGGGTTTCAGTAAGAACTAATAACATGTAGAATTTGTAGTAAAAACCGTTGGTCCTAGTTTAAAAAAATGAAGTTTTGTATAGCCGACAAGACGACATTGTATAAAAAAAATCTGTTGTTTTAAACAATGGTTTCAAGTATATATATATATATATATATATATACACTTAAAATACATGCAAAAAAATGGAGATGATCTGCTGCTCGGCGATCCCTGTGTGTTTTTGTGTGTGTGCGTGTGTATGCGAGGGCTTGTGTGCGTATGTACTGTGTGTGACGTATGCCACATCCGGGACCCTAAGTACGAGTATGGCGATGTCGTATTGTGCGCGATCCCGAAAACTCGACAACCACTAAACATAAACCAAAGTGGCGGTAGCGGCCACGACTACTATAATACTATGTGTGTAAACCACCATCTGGTCACACGAATCACTCGACCCGTAGACCGTAGTACAATTTATCTACTACGGTAGTAATATTATACAACGTTGATAATACAACAATATATCATAAATTTGCGTTCGTCGAGTTCTATACAATATAATATTATGATATCGACGACATATTTTATCATATCATATTCGATGTTTCGATCGGGACGAGCGAACGCCAACGTCCCGCCCCACCTCACCCATCTACATCACCATCGAAAGCGATTACCCGAAAGCAGGTTTTGATATGCGTTGTTATAGTCTTATAAATACTACGCGATATATAAGTGCAATGTTATTGCATATTTCGAATCATTATTTTTACCTTATGAGCAAATGCTAATCTTCCGTCAATAACCATCAAGTATCAAATTTACTTGTTATACTTATTAGTAATTGCACTTTATAGATTGTAAATAAAAAACCTCATCATCAGTTTTTGAAAATAACGTTTACGTATTGAAATAGCTCCTCAAGCAATATAGTTCTGATGTTCGTCGTGTCCTGTTTTGTGATCTACAATACCCACCAGTGAATAATGATGGCCCGCAAGAACTTCGATCGGATTTTTAGTGGGTGTTACAATAACAGCAACTCCAACCCCAAAAACGGAATAATTTTATATTGATAAATCATTATTCATTATACATACAATTAAATAATATTTCGGAATCAGTGCTAAAACTTTATGTTACTAATATCTATAACAATTTAAATTACAAGCCAACAGCTAACACACACTTACCTTTGTGAATGGAAAACTCGTCAATCAGCCTTTGACCAACTAAATATTATATAATAATTAATATCAAAAAAATTTAAAAGTCCGTAGGAAGTGAATTTAAAGTATATCAAAGAATTTATAATCAATATTTCATGAGGATATTGGATTAAACAATGCCAATATACTATGAAATCTGCATCTGAAAATCTTATATCATTTTCCATTTCTTTGAAATAACCATCAGGTCACAAAAAAAACTATTTTTATCACTGGTCAACTCGGATTTTATAGTATCACAGGAGACAGTATTCTTTTGATATTTTGGTGCACAGAATAGATTACCAAGTATCATTAGACACTCATATTAGTGCGCTAGAGTTGTTGAATCCTCTTTCACCTTCTGATCTGATTGATGTTTATATTCATGTAGAAAACAATAACTAAACTTCGTGAAATTGTAAATTAAAAAAACCAAAATTGTCATTAATTTTATTGTTTTATCAAATATTTTAAACCATATCATTTAATATAATTTATTTTAAATTTATATTATAACTATGAGTAAATAAATATTTTTAATATTCTACATTTTATGAGTCAATTTGGAGCATTGTGGTAATAAAAACTCAACTTTGTTGTTGATAAAAAAAAGAAAGAAAAAATAGAACATAAAAAAATGTACCAAGCTCATCTCTATACCTGTTATATGACTTCAGTTAAATTTGACAACGGTTTTTCAGTGACGTACAAAATTGTGTGGGACCATTCGACGAGACTGAGCCTTTTGTAGGTATATATAATAACGGCGCTTATTCGACGGTTTCAGAACGCTGTTTGGTATATCTTTTGTTCATAAAAATTATGTATATTGTTGTTCTAATTTCAAAGATGTATGGCGGGAACGCGACAATGGAACTGAGTTGGACAATAATAAGTTTGCACAAGTGTTGATTTTCTTTTAATTAGGGATTTTTTTATTTTTATTCATGATTTATACAAATTCATAAAACGTTTGTACTATACAAAAAAAAAAAAAAATACAATACAATAATAATAATAATAATCATATAATCATTATAGATAAATTAAATTAAATCAAATTGATTAGGAGGAACTTGTTAGTCTGTTTGAAAATAATACTGACGATATTTGAACAACTTAATATGAAATGGAAATCGTACGGACAACGAAATCGTACGATCGATAAAATATAATCGGTAAGTACATATAAAAATACAACCTATTCAATTTTACACAATAATTATTTTTCCTTAACATTTTACTTTTCGTAAAAATACACAATATACATTGTCTCAAAATGCAACACTAATATGGAAGCCTTTAGTGCGATAATAATAATAATAAACGTCAATGCTAAGATAGAACTTAAAAATAAAAACATTTACACCTTTTTGTGCTTTGAAAAAAAATAAAAATAAATTAAAACAGACTTTAGAAGAAGTGGAAAATAAAAGTCCAAAAGTGTATCCAAAAATTGAGAATACAGCACATTACGATGCAGTCCTGAAATAGAAAAAAATAAACCGTATTAATAATTCATTAAATTCATATAGTTTTCTATTTTGTCATGTTTGTTTTAAAAACTTTCCAAAACTACTCTAGTAAAATATTATGCGATTGAAAATAGTTTTCAAGTTTGTAGTATAATAAATTTAGAGTAAATAAAAAATCATTACAATTTTTTCCACAGAAATAAGGGTAAAAAAAGGGGTCTTTCGATGAGAATCGAGACGTATTATATTATATTAAATGATCCTCGACTCGTAATCTTAAATTGACGTACACAATTCAATGACAATAATATATTGCGGTAAAGTTTAAATAATAATAATCTGAATTTCGGTACTATATTTATGTATTTTGAGCGAATTTAGTGCAATGCAGACGAAATTACATAATCCTATTAAGGTACCGCAAAATATATGTTGATTTCTATAATATTATATTGTACATTGATCATGTTTTTCGAAATGTGAAATCCATAGATTGCTGGGAATAGATGTTTTAAATTACAGTTGTATTGTATACGTCGTTTTCAATTTTCGTTTCGAGGTTGTTAAATGTAAAGCGAGACGTCAGAAAAACAGAATAAATTCAACTCATAACAATATTGTTAATTTGAAATGAGTTTATCCATTAGAGGGGCGTTTTAACTCTGCACGTAATTATGATTTGATCTGACAGAGCGGAAATAATAATAAAAAAACCAAACGTACTTGAGGGTTTTGTAGTGTTCTTTTTCCACGCTGTTGTCTGGCGGTTCACGTTCGAATGACAATAATGTGAGCGCTGTGATAAACAAAAACGAAAATAATAAGGACAAAATTAAAAACGGCAATTTCTATGATTAAGAAAAAAAAAACCATCAAGCAAACAAACTAAATTAACCTTTCTCGTTGAGCACTGGCGTGGTGAGGAGGAACAACACCAGATTGGCGTTCTTCTCGTACGGGCAAGCCGCCTGTTTCCAAGTAATGAACTCCGTCACCTGCTTGGCCAGTTGCCAAAACTTTTCAAAATTTATGTGGCCATTGTCGAGCCTGTAGAAAAAAAAATCGTAATTCGTTTTGAGCATATTATTATTATAATATATCATACGCAGCGATTGGAAAATCGTTCAATCGGCGTGATTACATAGACAGTCGTTTCTTCGGCGCGAGAGCGCATAATGCCCCACTCTCCACGATAATAGTAGATTTCAATAATTAAAAAGGTTTCTCGTTTAATTGTAGCAGCGTCTACATAGACGAGACGATGCTGCTTTATAATTATTAATACATTTTAAACGCTGAGCGGAACGAGGACACTATCCGTTGCATTGCAGTAAAGTACGGTAAAGTTTACAAGCCTCGACGTGTTTGATTTGTCGTGTAGAATAAATTTATTAGAATTTAATATAGACGTGTAATAATTTTATAGATCTGAAGTGATTGGATGAAACTGGAAACGGTATAAGTACTTCAAAGAATAGAAATACAGTGAAATTAAGTATCCATTGACAGTAAACCATCGTTTAGCACTGAAGATGGTCTATAGGCACGCCAATGCATTACAGTTAAACTATGAAAACCATATTATATTATCTCGTCTAGTAGATTTAATTATGTAATATGGTATCAATATTATTTATAAAATAAATTGAATACTAAGTATTACGAAATATATTTTTTTTTCACTTAAAATATTTTTTTTATATTTTATATGCCTCTAGCCTTCGACCAATAACAAAAGTTCTTCTTATTATTATAACTATTATTTACGGTATAAACTTTAAAGTTTACAAAAACATAAATTTAAATTTAATGAATACGTTATCCCTCAACTTATTTTGTTGATTTATATCAATTTGAAAAGCCCAAATAATAATGAAATGAGAGAAAATATTTAATATATTTTGGTTCTTTTAGGTCATAAAAATAGCAAACTCGACTATACTACTCACTGCAATATTGGGTATATAAAATACGTTGTTTGATATCTGTTTTGCATAATCTATATGTATATAGAATACCTAACCCAAAGAACTGACAAATATAAATTATTAGCTATACATCGTATTTTGCATTTAATAATGCACTTTGTTTTTTTAAAAGTAAATACATTATACATACATAAGGATCATTAACAATTATATATTAACGGTACACTTATTGAACTTTGCATTTTAAATATTAAATCAATTCAGTATAAAATGCGCTAAAAAAAACATAGAAAGACAAGATAATCAAAAATCGTTGTATAAATGTTTATTAAATTTTTGTTAAGCATATTTTCAAATGGGCTAAGAATGCAATGCATGTTTTGCAACAGGCTAAACATACGATATTTTTCTACAAATTCACAGCCTTACTAATTTTAATATAATCACCTGTTTCGGCATCCTTCGTTGAGGAAGTAAATGTCTTTGACCAGCAACGAGAAGAACGGTATGACAACCCTCTGTCGCTGATCGGTGGCGCCGGCGCTTCTCCACAGAGCCGCCTTAAGTGTCGACCGGTAGCTGCTGAAATTTGACGACGGGTCCATGTACTGTTCTAGTATGGTAAATTTGGCAGACTGTTGTACCTTGTGCCACTAATCGGGTTGAAAAAAAAAACAAGAAATTAAAAAAAATGTACACAATTTAAGCGGAGTGTGGGTCATTGCACGACCAATATAATATAAAACCGATCGTTTCTATTACCGTCTTTTTGAGCCTGCTTATCGGCGACATGTTTAGACCTGCGATGATGGCCATAAGTGAATTGAAGTTTCCCACGTTGAAACACTCCCGGGCTGTTTCGATCCAGAACTCTATGGTCTTGACTCGCTGCTTTTTTTTCGAATGCTGAAACAAAGTAACGGTGATTCAAATGTGTCAACGATGATTATAATAATAATCGACTTAAACGATACGATACAATAAAACACTTATAATATCGTCGCTAGCTTACTTTGCATATTTCGGAGGCCACCAGGTAGCTGAGTCGGTTGAACCAGTGAACGTAAGACTCAAGATTTTTGGTTTTCTTCATGTCTTTGAACGAAGAATCGATGTGCGGACTGTCCTTCGCGAACGCCTGAACGAACTCTTCGGGGCCGATGAAAGAGAGCCTCTCGAGCTCGACGAGAGTGAGTTGTTGGCCCAGCAAAGACGCACTGGAACACACTTCCATCGTGTCCGTCTGAAATCACATTTAAAAAATGTAGCGTTTTATAGTGAACAAAAAAACAACAGTAATGATAACGATAGTATAAGCTACAATGACAGTGTGCGCAAACCAACTGGCGATAAACACAAACAACACACTTATGACATCAGGTGTGAAGACGGGGGTGAATGTAACTGGCGAGCATGCGATGAAGGGGCAAGTCGAATGATAAAAAAAATTCAGGCTTTTCGGAGAGATCAAGAAGGAGAGCGAGAAGACGGGCAGATGTCGATTCTTCGAGTGTGCTATTTGCACTGCAAGACGTATACTTATTATTTTAAATATTATTTCAATATTATCAGAGTAATATTCAGTAATACACTATACAAGTCTGATATGGTTCAAAAATGGTATTATTTTATTGAGCTGGATGTCGGGTTTGTTAATTTTTCATCGCAGCGCATGCGCGCGACGTGGGAATTTCGACGGTGTGACGATCAGCTGCTGTCGTGTATAGCGGTTTTTCGCGCGCTTATAAAAAGCGCTTTTTTGCACTGGCCACGACTGCAAATCGACGATCGGCAGCGAATCGATCAGACACGAGCGGAGAAAGAGAGAGGTGGGAGGGAGAGAGTGGAATATAGAAAAAGGTATATACATATATACATTATATATATATACAGAGAGAGAGAGAGACAGACAGAAATAGAAACAGAGAGGTAGGACGTAGAGAAAAAGAGAGAGGAAAAGTTTTTGGTGCACGGGTGACGTCGCATAATACATCACCGTCAAACTTTTGTGCGTATAGCGGGACACGCATCACACACTGTTATAGATGAACATGTTCGCCGTGCATATACGTGGCTGTACGACGACCGCGGACGAAAATAAAACGAGAAAGAGAAAAATGAATAATGCCCAATCGGTCGCCGAGTACGCTATTTATATTGCGTTTTTCTTTCGTTATTTTTTTTTCTCGCCTTCTGCGACGAGATTTATATTCCCGACGATAATATTTTCGTCCTCCTCTTCCTCGGAACGTCGCCGTCCGCGGGTGCGATTTTTTATTCGAGTAATTTTTTTTCGCGCCGACCATAGAACTCGCGGAGAGGACCGAATCCATATTTAAAATTAATAAATTTAAAGATGAGCCCGCTGCAGGTTCTTATACAAAAAAAAACACACTACTCGTTGTAGGTCGTCGCCATATTATAGCAGCTTCAATTAAATCATATTCGAGTCCACGTAGTAAATACAAAAGTAACACATCTTAAAAATTAATTGATCGAATTTACGGAGTAAATAATTTAAAATTGATTTCGGAAATATTCCCGGACGGTGTCGTCAAACAATCCGTGTTTAGTCGTACAGAAAACAATATTCACGCCTCGTGATTAGGTTAGATTATTTTAAGAAGGTTCGAGGTACTTGAAAATCGGATGAGATGACTAAAAACTAATACAATATGTACACAGTAAGTGCGCTTTGATTTAGAATAATCGTTTAAACGCGCACGTATATCGGCCCGCCGGGAATGCACGAATACGATAAGAATTATCGTACACACGTGGAAAAATATCTTTTTACGCCGCGAGGAAACGGTTCCGGTACAAATTCGATACGTATATTATCGTGTACACGAAGATAATAATATAAATATAGTCTTATGAGAAACGTCAGCAATAAATAATGTTCTAAATTGTCACGGGAGACGTTATGAATACGGCCGGCGTACTTAAAAGTTCGAGGAAATGTTATACGTTTTCTCATTTCAGAATTCTTGATGCTTTGTTTAATATATAATATACGTATAATTTCGCGTTTTATATAAAAGGTTAATTCATGTAGGTACACATTTCCCCGGGGCAAGTCCCATATTAAAAAAAAAATATTAAAATTATGCATTCAAACTGCTGCGCCTCTCGCAAGAACGATATGCTGGATAAAAATGACACGTGTCAATTATTATTCCCATCCTTCCTCCCGTGTATATATCGTGTAAAACCGTCAACATAAATATATATAATATGATCGTATTTAAAAAAAAAAAAGCGTCAATTATAAGTTTGACTGTTTACGGCACTATCGGCACTATTCGATCCCGAAACGTTGCAAAAAAATTTCATTTCGATGAGATGTCATCGTTTTGACAAAGCGTTCCATTTTGTAAAAAAACAAAAAATAAGTGTTACGGTATCCGTATTCCTAGAGCAGTGACTTATATTTAAAAAAAAATTATTTATTAAGTCATCTGAACCTGTGCAAAGACATTTATTTTTTTGTAATATACGTAGTTTGGAAACTTTGCTAAACCCTCACACTAAACGATCACAAATTAGATCAAAACAAAATAAATAATAACAAAATAAATAATTCACAAAATACAAAATCAGTCTTACCTATACTAAACTACCACATGTAATATATACCTATAACAACACTGACGGGCTAAGGTGTACTTGGTAACTGGTAAGCGGATTGGACAAGGTTTTCAGTTTTCAGTACACACGTTATCACCACTTTCGGGACTACGTAATGCAGTACTCATTAGACGATATAATTATTAAATAATTGATGTCATGCATTGTTATTAAAACAGTCAATTTACGATAACACGGCGTCTTGGGTAGGCAATTCAGCTACACTATGGTACAAAACGATTATGGCAGATCATTAGACAACATACTATTATTATACGTCATGTATACACCACACTCGCCCATACTACCAAACTTCCACTAGAATCCTTTGCAGTTCGTTAACGATCAACCAACGAAGCACTTCGTTCAAATATCGACAAAAACTAGATTCTAATATTATAAATGTATAGTATACAATAAACGCATAATTTGCAGCCATGTACGGTGTGGTCGTATTAAAATAAAGAACATGATTCATTCTTTATTTAAAACAATATCCGTACAAAACACGTTCATTAATTAGTAAATATATAATATAATATACGTCTATTCACTTTTTCATATTATATAAAAAACGAAATATTTTGTGAAAATAAACTAACAAGTAATTAGTAAAATCATCAATCGAATATAAAGCATTTATTTTGTATGTTGATAATAAGTTTCTGCATTTGGTGAACTTTTAATTTCAAATTCAGATGGTTTCACAATACGAGTCATATTATTTTCTAACATCAAAATATGTATCACTCTTAAACACGTTTCCTTCAAAGAATGTTTACAGAAAATGTTCTACGGAGTGCTAAATAAGAATATTATAATTTTTGAATATAGTGCCATAGTATTTTGATATTTTATTCACTGTAGAACAACAAAAATTACATAATTTATGTGTTATTCATTATTATTACTACTAAAAGCTTAGAAATATAACAATGGTTATTTTAAAACCTTATTAAATGTATTATAATTACCTACATTTCTTTTAATACTATACAGCTTATAAATAAACAATTCATATTTTAATGACATGATTCCCTATACTTTTAATATTCTTAACAATTTTTAACAAAAATTTCGAACACATATACCGACAATGGCAATAGTTGATAGTACAGTTCTACTCTATATGATTAGTATGTACTTTTTAAACATCTATCAACATTTTTAGATATAAATATTATCGAACTGCATGGTATTTACCATTGACGGTTTTAGGTATTTTTTTTTGTCTTATCGTTTATTTTTTTTTATATTATAATGTTTACAATTTATAATGGCTAGGCTATAAACCCCCATTTTGAAAATCTTAAATCTCTCTATTAGTTATTGTACAACTATATTTAGATACTATAAAGACAGTGAATGAACATAATAAAATGATACACGAATGACAACTACACTTTTAATAGAAAGTTTAGAATATTTAATTTAAAAGCCTTTTACTATAAGAATGTCTTACTATATTTATTTAAAACTGATTAATCAATGTTTGCACCTCACCTTTCTTACAATACTACAAAACTGGATTAAAAATGTTGATTAATTTAAACTGCAAAAAGTAGGTTACGACAATTTTTGAAAAATTAATACAGTAATGAAGGAAATTAAATGTTGACATTAAAAAATTTATAACAAAATCTTTTGTAATTAATTACTTACATACTTTAGATCTAAATATTATTAATTTTTAAACATCATTCGGTTTTTTTATACTGTAATGCCTATATCAAAACATGTGTAACTGACTTTTGTAAACTCAGCCACCCAAAGCACAAGACTCTTATTTTTTTGGGGAGAGGGTAGCGCAGTACCATAATTTTGGCAGTATTGTTATAACTAATTTGTATATACGTCTATGCCTTAATATATTATTATTACTAAATGGGTGAACATAAAAAAGATATTAAGTTGATTTTAGATATAAAGATTTTTTTTTTGCAAAATGCAATTATTAAAAAATTTTAATGTACCTATAACTTATGATTTGATAGATGTTACATGAACATCAAATCGATGAATCATGTTTAGTACAGAGAACTAAGTTAAAAAATTTTATTATGTTATCAACATTAAATTAAGAATTTTTTCCTGGTATCAATGTATAGCAAACAGTTTAATACGTAAAATACAAGAATAATGATTAAATGCTTAAAGTAGGTACTGAAAAATACAAAATTAAACCTAAATAAATACTAAGATTAATATACATATTGCTATGAGCGTTGTAGGCGTCCTTATTATATCAAAATAATATGAAAATGTTAAAGAAATACAATCTAGATATATTCCAGGAACCGGACTTATTACTTGCCTACTCATTTTCTCAGAATAACTTCCTACAAGGATCGAAAAAACGTGATAAAAGTGTATGACATATTGATAATCATGGACAGTAAATCGTTATAAGGCAAAGAAACTGTAAGACACTCTATTATATTGTTTATTATTATGTATAATGTGCATTATTTTTTGATGTTGTATTAAATAACCAATAACAATCTTTGGTTCGAACTTTAAAAAAACAGTTTTATTTTTTTTAACACTCAGCTAAGTGTTTAGCTTATGGTTATTCGTAGACCAATAAGTAAATCGATTGTACGATTTCATATA